TATTCACCGAAGAAACGGACTCGCGTCGTTCTCGTCATCGAAACAGCCGTTTGCGTCGTTTCAAAGGATTGTCGGATCAGCTAATAGTGGGACGTTTTAATACGTATATCCGCAGAATTTCTTCACAAAGAAAATCCAATTAGCGGTGCGTATGGCGAGTGCCGGTGGCTGTATTTCCCTTCGCGTTCATTATCATAGCTGTAGTCCATTAATCGGGTTATCAAATGTGGCGAGGTCGATCGTTAATGTCTATCGTGCCTTATTGGACACAGCCATAAATCCCACCGATCAAATTATATGTCGCGGGTAATGAGCATTTACGATAATAATATATTATAATAATACTTATATTATTAATCCGCGCGTTATAATGTACAAACGGTAGCTTGTTAATCGCATGATCGCATTTACATGCAGTTGTATGCGCCAGATTTACCATATTATGGATACATAGCGTCGCTTGTTATTCCAAATAGACAAATCGCACGGATATTTTCCATGTATACGTGATACCGTATAATCCACTGCACTCCAGCGAATATGCTAATCATCGGCGCTAATCGGGAAGCTCGCCGCAGAATTAAAGCAAAAACTAGTTACGCATGAATTTGATTTAATACCGCGTACCGTGTATCGCGCGCAATGACGAGAGGAGTTTTCGCGACTGTATCAACTCGACGTTTCTTATCGTCGCGACAAAGAAGACGGGGAGACATTTCCATCGAGCGCCAGCCAACTTCCGGTTGGCTCTCTTTCGCGAAAGCCGTATCTCCCCGAGCACGTTTTAAACTGCAGCGAAGAAAAAGATTCTGTGTCGGTTGCCTGAGTTTAACGTCGGCGTCGCTCTTTAAATATAAAATACGGATTATTACAAAGCGCGCAACTTTCTGTCTTTAACTTTCCTCTTGATAATCCATGGACCGTACAGATAAATTAATTAGAGGACTAATCGTCGAAAATTATTACGTTATTATGAAAAAAATTAACGTCTTTCGAAATCATCGTCGTGCAACTTCATTTCTTTCATCGTTCCCGTTATTTTGTTGCTATTATTCTATTGCCAGAAGTACCAGACACAAAATCTTATGTGAATTGAGAACTGCTTCTCATTTGCACTTTTATAGCTCCTGTTTTCGTTCGAGTCGGATAATCTCAAAAAGAAACGCGTCATCTCGGCAGTATTGATCTAAGGATCACTCGGAACTAGAAGAAAGGATGGTCCTCGTTTATAGTTAATTAATAACTTAACTCAAGAATAAAAAAATATTGCACGGAAAATATGCAACGGTTCAATATCTTTGGGAATTACTCGAAAAATATTCGAAGCAGGAGACTAACGTAATACGCTTATGCGCAATCAATATTTACTCTTTCGAAAAATATTGCAGCGCCAAGAGCAACACTCAAATACAATAAATGTGCAGTTGTATTTAGCTAACAAAATCAATTTAAATTAATATCTGCAACATACAGGTTTCTCGCAAATTATTAGTAGCAAAGTTATTGGGTAATATTTATACGATTCCTTTTGTAAATATATTAACTAATTTCAAAAATTAATAAAAATATAATTAAAATGTATTACGCTCTGTATAACAACAGCTTTATGCGATTGCAATTACGGCACTGATGATCATTTGCAGGTAGGCATTCTCAGTTACGTAATTTATATTAATTACATAATTTGTATCATCTACATAAACTTCTCCCGTGTATATAATATTATCGGGCTTTGCGTCTGTTAAATAACTATTTGCAATACTTTGAGGATATTAAGGAATTTCGCTTTGAAATAAAAGTCTAAATATTTCCAGACAAACATCGACCCCCTCAAACAAGTTAAATGTCGCATCTCGACGTTGAGGAAAGCTCGCGGTTGTATTATAGTACGTATCTCACAGGAAGAAGGAAGCTATTCGCGAGCCAGCTGAGAGGAAGGAAGCGATTTAATACGATCTCCTGGATCATTTTTCAATGCACGCTACGCGAAGATGCACCGTCTATTAATACGTAATCGGTTTTATGACATCGCGAGTCATCGTGAAACGCCATTTGGAACTCGCGCCGGCTCTTGCGAAGGGGAATGCGTGCGCGGAACTATCAATATAATTTTACATACTACAAACAACGTATACGTATACACGCAAGAAACTAAAATAAATTACTAAAGAAAGATTTAAAAAGTTTTCTTCGAAGACTTTCGTTTCGCCGTGTAATATTTTTTTAAATTTATTCTTTGTAGTATTAATATATAGAGGAATGCCCTCTATTATGAGATAGGATTCCAATACGAGATAGCAGGTTTTCAACGTCCAAATTCAATCACAAATCTGTTTTCGCTACAATTACACGATCTAACAATCAATTTTCCAATAAACAGATTTCACTCCAAAGGCGATAAATTCATGGTGGAACCAACAGATGATTAATTTAGCCTATTAATTTAGCAGAAACTCCGCTACCTCATAATATGGGACTTTCCTCTAATATTAATTTTAGTTCTATAACATTTTTACCGTATCAGTTTTATATTATAATATCAATTTTTAAGGATTCCGAGATGACTGTTTTAAAATCCTAATCATATAAACATAGGCGATTTATAATTATTTGAAATTTGCCTTTTTATACACATTAAAAATAGATATTTATTTTCAGTAAAATTTTGTGTACATATAATTCTAAGTTTCTATATGCTTGAAACTCTGTCTTTTATATAAATATCTATTTTCACTTGGTTTCAATATTGATTTGCGAATCGCTGTATTTGGACTAGCGGGATCCTTCTCTTTCTTCCTTTTGAATACATCAGTTCAATTTATTTCTGTAAGTATCCTAAAGTCTTAAATGTAAGTGAAATTCTAGTGCATTTAATTTTATTATCCAGTTTATCTACAGCCCATTGTTAGTTACTTCCTCATTTATTAATAATTGCATGTTTTGATGTGTCCACGCGACGTTTATTTAATGTCTCGGAAGTGCATCTTCACATGGACATCTGCATAAGCAATCGGAACCGGAACCGGGCGCGGATGCACGCGTATGTATGCGCAGCGGCGTGTATGCAGAGTGTGCCGGTATAAAAGCCTAGAAAATACGTTGGTAAGTTGCAGTTCTCACCTGGCCGCCTGAAATATCGTAATGGTGGAGATGACTTTCAAGGTAAAGTGTCGAAACTCGTCGCGAACGAAGGAAACGCGGATCGGAGAAAGTGTTCGTTAAAGAATAACTTCGTAGAACGACGCGTAGAAATACGGGAAAAGAAAAAGGAAAAGAGAGGGAGAGAGTGAAATATGAAGGGCTAGTACGGATAAGTAAGGGCGAAGGGTGACGGATTTTAAGTTGCCGGTAATTACGTACACATAATTGGCCCGGTGATGTGCGCGCAGGAGGGTCGACGAAATAAATAATTCGGGATAGGGCGGCAGGGTAGTTGAACGCGGTTTTGCCGGAGACCCGGAGCAATGCCGTGAATGTAAAATGGGATTAAAGTGTTGCTTGACATTTAAGTCTACTCGATGTAATTAGTTCAGCCAGGGTTGTCGAGAACCTAAGTTTTTGCGAAAGATAGTGTCCGTTTCACAGCACAGCGGGGCGTGCTCGAGTGGCGGGTGAAGATTCTGGGGTTGGAACTTGATGGAAATTAAAAAGTGCACGCCGACTTGTACCAAACGCTTCTCTTTAATTGTGTTAAACGCTTGTTCCTTTGCACTTGGCTAATCTTGAGACCTTCTCAACCTCAGAAATCTTAGTCGTTTTATTATAGTCGGGAGTGCTATTATTTTCTCATGTATACGCGCAGGAGTGAATAAGCCTTTCTCATATATTTCAGCTAACTCGCGTTTCGTCTCCAGAGAAAGCTGACATTAGTATCGTGAAAACTTCTAAACAAAGTTATTATTCTTGTGATAATTGTGTTTCAAATTACCTGTTTATTATACGCTTCGACTTTTGCTCTAATTATGTTTGCATGTGACCTTTGGATAATGATACATTAAATATACATGATATCGCAAAGTTTCATAACTCGACGAGTGCATGTAAAATCTTACATAGTACATTTTAACATGCACATGTTCTATCTCTCATTCTGCATATATTCTACTATATTCCTAACTTGAGCGTGTACTTATATATGCAATAATGCAAACTGTACTTCCACGTGTACTTTACATGTACAATTACTATAAAACAGTGTCTGCATGTTGCATTAGTTTTGACAAAATTTCCATAAAATAGAATTATAATTTATAATTTGTATTTATATCTCACTGGGAATAATGTATGTAGTTAATATTTCGAATCTAGTATCGATTTTGAAAAATCTGAGAGTAAGATTGTGTTTGTGGTTTCGTACGCGTCTCGTTCTATCTTGCTCGAAGTTACACGGTAACTCAGTTGCTCATTACATTAATCTATAATCAAATGTAATTAAAGGGTTTGAATATCGAGAGGAAAAACTTTAATTTTAAAACGCGGAGGCTGACGAAGCGTACGAGCAAAGACGACGCAACGTTTCTCGATGAATTGCACATTTCCTTCTTCAATCGAGTCACTTCCGTCGGACTGAATCGTGTTGATTTCAACATTGACGGCCGGACTTTCGGGACGCCGTAATTAAAAACGAGAGGTCGGCGACCCAGCCCTCGCTACTCGATGTCGATAAATATCGCAAATTTCTAGAGTTTCATCATAGCGTCGAGTTTGTACATACAGGCAACATCGAGCGTACAGATCACGGTTACATTTCCGTGCAATTTCGTTTCGTCGAACATTCTACTAGCTTGAAATATTCCAATTTGCTCGACTGTTTATACGTGCGCACGGAAAAAGTATTTGACATATTAGAACACGTAAAAATATTTAAATTACATCTTCCTTCGTTCGGCAATTCCTTGCCGTCAATACTATTTCACAGTAGAATTTTTTCTAAAAGAAGCTATTTTTCCCCCCTATAAGAAAATAAGAAAATTGCAATAGAGACGGGAAGATTACAGGGACTGGGGTCCCGGTAAATACGTCCACCGCTTATGTAAATGAACTCTTCGGTTCATAACGCGCGCTATTTACAACCATGATCGATAACTATCAGAGCATCGAAAGCCCCTTTTTCCGTGCCGGAGATGAGTCCCCGGACAACACGACACTGTCGACATAAACTTCTTGTGTCGCAGGTCACCGTCGCACTAACCATCGGCCTCGCCCTGGTCGATCGATCAATCGCTGGCGTGATACCGCTGGACAGCCACGATCATCATGTCTCGGTGGCCAGCTCGTACATGCATTTCCAAGGGCCGGTACAGGGACCTGAATACGAAGTGAAAGTACCGCACGTACCTGTGGACCATCTCGGTGAGCACAACTATCTGCAGACCCACCACGAGCACCGCCATCACGACGGTTACACGGTCGACTACGTGGGGAAGCCGAAGTACGAGTTCTCGTACGGCGTCGAGGATCATCATACCGGCGACTTTCACGGCCAGAAGGAGTCCAGCGATGGTGAGTGAAAAGGACGAGTCACTTTTATGCCTTCGTGACTTTCGCGACGACGACGACGGCGACGACGACGACGACGACGACGACGACGACGACGACGACGACGAAGAGCCAGAGTCTTTGAATGGCCGGCTACCTGTGGCTACGCCGTTTATCCGATTTCCACCGTGGCGACAGCTCGGCGTTCTAACGCTGACGTCGGCAAAAATTGCCACGGGTGAAAAGAAAATTGCATTTCTGCGGAGACTGCCCGCGAGCGCACCCCCCGACACGGCGAGAATACGCACGAGCCGGTATGTGCGAACGCATGTGCGTGTGTGCGGGCATGGGAATGTGTGTGCGTTCGTGTCAACTCTTCAGTCGGAACTACGTCTTCTTACTCGAGTCGTCAAGTTGACTCAAGGAATTGTAAACTGGCTTCAACGGCGCATCGGTGTGATATCGTAGTTGTACAAGCGACCTATGTAGAGGTATAAACTTACTCCAAAATTGAGCAAACTATGCAGATGCATTCCTTGACCAAGTTGAAATCAATTCTTCCTTAGCGAAAGTATCAAAGTGTTTGGTTTAGGTTTTGCGGCGATTGAAAGTGAAAGACACCGCGGAAATTACAGTGCAGGAGTTCAAACAAATAGAGAAAGCTTCGTCTGCGTCTCGTTTCGAATAGACTTCGCTTGAACGGAATTTTAATTCAAGCTTTAGAGTTGTCGCGATTTTTAACACCGAACGTATCGAAAACGTTATGAGATGAAAGTATTTCTGATCAAACCTCTTTTTCAAAACAACCAGTTTTGAATTATTCAAGGGACGAGAGGTGTCTATAAAATTAATTCAAATGTTTTATTCATTTTTATACGATTATAGATCTGAAATTATTTAGAACTGCTTATATACAGGGT